TACATGTATGTGTATATGACATGCCTACTCAGCCTTTACATGTATGTGTACATGACATGCCTACATGGCTTTATCGACATTCTCTAATCACACAGCAGTAAAGAGTAAGACGTTACCTATGGTATCTTTATCTCTTGATGCTTCAGATCCAGACACGCTAACCAGCACCACGCCACCAATGCTGCAAAGGGGAGAGAACATGACAAAGACCATGAGAGCGGTACCACAGAACTTTGGGAGGAGACCAAATATGACATAGACCATTAGGGAGAGAACACAGAGCTTCAGGAGAGGACGGCATATGACACAGACCACCAGAGAGATACCACAGAGCTTTAAGAGAAGACCACACCTAACACAGACCATCAGAGAAAGAAACCAGAGCTTCAAAAAATCTACACATGGCATAGACCGCGAGAGAGAGAGAGAGAGAGAGACCACAGAGGTTCAGGAGAAGACCATCAGAGAAAGGACATACAATATCAAAAGACCACATGATATAAACCAGCGGTCACTAAAAGACGGACCGAGTGGTGGTTCTGCTTGGACTAGGAAAATTCTATTCACCGGACCTCCTTAAATTTGAATTCATTACCACTGATATAGACCATCAGAGGAAGACCATAGAGCTTCAGGAGAAGATGGCACATGGCATGGACCATCAGAGAGAGATCATAGAGCTTCAGGAGAAGATGGCACATGGCATGGGCCATCAGAGGGAGACCATAGAGCTTCAGGAGAAGACGGCACATGGCATGGACCATCAGAGAGAGATCATAGAGCTTCAGGAGAAGATGGCACATGGCATGGACCATCAGAGAGAGATCATAGAGCTTCAGGAGAAGATGGCACATGGCATGGACCATCAGAGAGAGATCATAGAGCTTCAGGAGAAGATGGCACATGGCATGGACCATCAGAGAGAGATCATAGAGCTTCAGGAGAAGATGGCACATGGCATGGACCATCAGAGAGAGATCATAGAGCTTCAGGAGAAGATGGCACATGGCATGGACCATCAGAGAGAGATCATAGAGCTTCAGGAGAAGATGGCACATGGCATGGGCCATCAGAGAGAGATCATAGAGCTTCAGGAGAAGACGGCACATGGCATGGACCATCAGAGAGAGATCATAGAGCTTCAGGAGAAGACGGCACATGGCATGGGCCATCAGAGAGAGACCATAGAGCTTCAGGAGAAGACTGCACATGGCATGGGCCATCAGAGAGAGATCATAGAGCTTCAGGAGAAGACGGCACATGGCATGGGCCATCAGAGAGAGACCATAGAGCTTCAGGAGAAGACTGCACATGGCATGGGCCATCAGAGAGAGATCATAGAGCTTCAGGAGAAGACGGCACATGGCATGGACCATCAGAGAGAGACCATAGAGCTTCAGGAGAAGACTGCACATGGCATGGGCCATCAGAGAGAGACCATAGAGCTTCAGGAGAAGACGGCACATGGCATGGACCATCAGAGAGAGACCATAGAGCTTCAGGAGAAGACTGCACATGGCATGGGCCATCAGAGAGAGACCATAGAGCTTCAGGAGAAGACTGCACATGGCATGGGCCATCAGAGAGAGATCATAGAGCTTCAGGAGAAGACGGCACATGGCATGGGCCATCAGAGAGAGACCATAGAGCTTCAGGAGAAGACTGCACATGGCATGGGCCATCAGAGAGAGATCATAGAGCTTCAGGAGAAGACGGCACATGGCATGGGCCATCAGAGAGAGACCATAGAGCTTCAGGAGAAGACTGCACATGGCATGGGCCATCAGAGAGAGATCATAGAGCTTCAGGAGAAGACGGCACATGGCATGGACCATCAGAGAGAGATCATAGAGCTTCAGGAGAAGACTGCACATGGCATGGGCCATCAGAGAGAGATCATAGAGCTTCAGGAGAAGACGGCACATGGCATGGGCCATCAGAGAGAGACCATAGAGCTTCAGGAGAAGACTGCACATGGCATGGGCCATCAGAGAGAGATCATAGAGCTTCAGGAGAAGACGGCACATGGCATGGACCATCAGAGAGAGACCATAGAGCTTCAGGAGAAGACTGCACATGGCATGGGCCATCAGAGAGAGACCATAGAGCTTCAGGAGAAGACTGCACATGGCATGGGCCATCAGAGAGAGATCATAGAGCTTCAGGAGAAGACGGCACATGGCATGGACCATCAGAGAGAGACCATAGAGCTTCAGGAGAAGACTGCACATGGCATGGGCCATCAGAGAGAGACCATAGAGCTTCAGGAGAAGACTGCACATGGCATGGGCCATCAGAGAGAGATCATAGAGCTTCAGGAGAAGACGGCACATGGCATGGGCCATCAGAGAGAGACCATAGAGCTTCAGGAGAAGACTGCACATGGCATGGGCCATCAGAGAGAGATCATAGAGCTTCAGGAGAAGACGGCACATGGCATGGGCCATCAGAGAGAGACCATAGAGCTTCAGGAGAAGACTGCACATGGCATGGGCCATCAGAGAGAGATCATAGAGCTTCAGGAGAAGACGGCACATGGCATGGACCATCAGAGAGAGATCATAGAGCTTCAGGAGAAGACTGCACATGGCATGGGCCATCAGAGAGAGACCATAGAGCTTCAGGAGAAGACGGCACATGGCATGGGCCATCAGAGAGAGATCATAGAGCTTCAGGAGAAGACGGCACATGGCATGGGCCATCAGAGAGAGACCATAGAGCTTCAGGAGAAGACTGCACATGGCATGGGCCATCAGAGAGAGATCATAGAGCTTCAGGAGAAGATGGCACATGGCATGGGCCATCAGAGAGAGACCATAGAGCTTCAGGAGAAGACGGCACATGGCATGGGCCATCAGAGAGAGATCATAGAGCTTCAGGAGAAGACGGCACATGGCATGGACCATCAGAGAGAGACCATAGAGCTTCAGGAGAAGACTGCACATGGCATGGGCCATCAGAGAGAGACCATAGAGCTTCAGGAGAAGACGGCACATGGCATGGACCATCAGAGAGAGATCATAGAGCTTCAGGAGAAGACTGCACATGGCATGGGCCATCAGAGAGAGATCATAGAGCTTCAGGAGAAGACGGCACATGGCATGGGCCATCAGAGAGAGATCATAGAGCTTCAGGAGAAGACGGCACATGGCATGGGCCATCAGAGAGAGATCATAGAGCTTCAGGAGAAGACGGCACATGGCATGGGCCATCAGAGAGAGATCATAGAGCTTCAGGAGAAGACGGCACATGGCATGGGCCATCAGAGAGAGATCATAGAGCTTCAGGAGAAGACGGCACATGGCATGGGCCATCAGAGAGAGATCATAGAGCTTCAGGAGAAGACGGCACATGGCATGGGCCATCAGAGAGAGATCATAGAGCTTCAGGAGAAGACGGCACATGGCATGGGCCATCAGAGAGAGATCATAGAGCTTCAGGAGAAGACGGCACATGGCATGGGCCATCAGAGAGAGATCATAGAGCTTCAGGAGAAGACGGCACATGGCATGGGCCATCAGAGAGAGATCATAGAGCTTCAGGAGAAGATGGCACATGGCATGGGCCATCAGAGAGAGATCATAGAGCTTCAGGAGAAGATGGCACATGGCATGGGCCATCAGAGAGAGATCATAGAGCTTCAGGAGAAGATGGCACATGGCATGGGCCATCAGAGAGAGATCATAGAGCTTCAGGAGAAGATGGCACATGGCATGGGCCATCAGAGAGAGATCATAGAGCTTCAGGAGAAGACGGCACATGGCATGGGCCATCAGAGAGAGATCATAGAGCTTCAGGAGAAGACTGCACATGGCATGGGCCATCAGAGAGAGATCATAGAGCTTCAGGAGAAGATGGCACATGGCATGGGCCATCAGAGAGAGACCATAGAGCTTCAGGAGGAGACGGCACATGGCATGGGCCATCAGAGAGAGACCATAGAGCTTCAGGAGAAGACGGCACATGGCATGGACCATCATAGGAAGACCATAGAGCTTCAGGAGAAGACTGCACATGGCATGGGCCATCAGAGAGAGATCATAGAGCTTCAGGAGAAGACTGCACATGGCATGGGCCATCAGAGAGAGATCATAGAGCTTCAGGAGAAGATGGCACATGGCATGGGCCATCAGAGAGAGACCATAGAGCTTCAGGAGGAGACGGCACATGGCATGGGCCATCAGAGAGAGACCATAGAGCTTCAGGAGAAGACGGCACATGGCATGGACCATCATAGGAAGACCATAGAGCTTCAGGAGAAGACTGCACATGGCATGGGCCATCAGAGAGAGATCATAGAGCTTCAGGAGAAGACGGTACACCGGGGAGTATCATTAACGCAGTAAGCTCTTACCTCAAAACAACAGCCAATAATTTGGAAAGAGTAAAGCGATCTCCGCTGTTACTTGGAAAGACGGAGGCCAGAATCAATGTGAACAGACCTGAGGACAGGAAGACAATCATTACCATCTACAACAGGATATCTGACATCACTTTGTAATCAGAGACAATGAATAAATGGCCAGATTAGCCGACACCAACCAACCCACCCACCAACCAACCAACCAACCCACCAACCAACCCACCAACCAACCCACCAACTAACCAACCCACCCACCAACCAACCAACCCACCAACCAACCAACCCACCAACCAACCAACCCACCAACCAACCCACCAACCAACCCACCAACCAACCAACCCACCAACCAACCAACCCACCAACCAACCCACCAACCAACCCACCAACCAACCCACCAACCAACCCACCCGGACACTCCTCCCTGTATAACGTCCGGACACTCCTCCCTGTGTTTCTAGCTGGATATGAACTGACCTGATGTAGAGGAAATGATGTTGACAATGGCCACCTGGGTATCAGAAAGAGCCTCTTGGTAGGAATAATTTGCCAAAAACCACTAGAAGATGAAGAGGGAAAGAATGATGAGACGGTTCAGGACACACACGCTATCTGCTCTACATAACTCTCTAATACAGAGACACGAGGAGGACAGGAGACACGAGGAGGACAGAGACACAAGGAGGACAGAAGACACGAGGAGGACAGAAGATACGAGGAGGACAGGAGACACGAGGAGGACAGGAGACACGAGGAGGACAGGAGACACGAGGAGGACAGGAGACACGAGGAGGTCATAAGACAGGAGGAGGACATAAGACAGGAGGAGGACAGAAGACACGAGGAGGACAGAAGACAGGAGGAGGACAGAAGACAGGAGGAGGACAGGAGACACGAGGAGGACAGGAGACACGAGGAGGACAGGAGACACGAGGAGGACAGAAGACACGAGGAGGACAGAAGACAGGAGGAGGACAGGAGACAGGAGGAGGACAGAGACACGAGGAGGACAGAGACACGAGGAGGACAGGAGACACAAGGAGGACAGAAGACAGGAGGAGGACAGAAGACAGGAGGAGGACAGAAGACAGGAAGAGGACAGAAGACAGGAGGAGGACAGGAGACACGAGGAGGACAGGAAACAGGAGGAGGACAGAAGACACGAGGAGGACAGGAGACACGAGGACAGAAGACAGGAGGAGGACAGGAGACACGAGGACAGAAGACATGAGGAGGACAGAAGACACGAGGAGGACAGAGACACGAGGAGGACAGAGACACGAGGAGGACAGAAGACACGAGGAGGACAAGAAACAGGAGGAAGATACAAATTGGAAAATGTTCATGGAAGGGACAATTTCATATACAAATGATACTGAGCTCAGTCACCCAACAATAAAAGGCTGAGACTTGGGGGTCACACCGAGCTGTCAGTATAAGGCTGAGACTTGGGGGGGTCACACCGAGCTGTCAGTATAAGGCTGAGACTTGGGGGGGTCACACCGAGCTGTCAGTATAAGGCTGAGTCTTGGGGGTCACACCGAGCTGTCAGTATAAGGCTGAGACTTGGGGGGTCACACCGAGCTGTCAGTATAAGGCTGAGACTTGGGGGTCACACCGAGCTGTCAGTATAAGGCTGAGACTTGGGGGTCACATCGATCTGTCAGTATAAGGCTGAGACTTGGGGGTCACACCGAGCTGTCAGTATAAGGCTGAGACTTGGGGGTCACATCGATCTGTCAGTATAAGGCTGAGACTTGGGGGTCACATCGATCTGTCAGTATAAGGCTGAGACTTGGGGGTCACATCGATTGATGCAACTCACAATGAAATCTCCACTGCCCAGACCTCCTCCACCCCTAACATACCTCGTCTGCCACCACACTCCCTACTCTCATCATCTGATCCAGTTATCACCGACAAAGTCGCTTCACTTTTGTCTAACACTCGCCTAACCACCTGCCCCCTGGACCCGATCCCCTCACAAATACTCCGGTCACCCTCTAGCTCTATGCTACACTCCCTTACTCACATCTTCAATCTCTCCCTTTCTAAAGGTGTAGTCCCTACCCCCCTAAAACAAGCAGTGGTGACCCCCATATAAAAAACCCATCTTTGGGGCCCACCAGTCTAAACAACCTGGGACCCATCTCCCTGCTCCCTTTTACCTCCAAACTTTTTGAACGGCAGGTCTACAACCGCCTGAGGAGCCACCTTACCATTAACAATCTCCTTGACCCGTTCCAATGTGGCTTTCGTCCGCAACACTCCACAGAAACTTCCCAACACTAACCCTAGAACCAATGGCCACCACTCAGTCCTCATACTCCCGGACCTCTCTGCTAAACCAATGGCCACCACTCTGTCCTCAGACTCCCGGACCTCTCTGCTAAACCAATGGCCACCACTCTGTCCTCAGACTCCCGGACCTCTCTGCTAAACCAATGGCCACCACTCTGTCCTCAGACTCCCGGACCTCTCTGCTAAACCAATGGCCACCACTCTGTCCTCAGACTCCCGGACCTCTCTGCTAAACCAATGGCCACCACTCTGTCCTCAGACTCCCGGACCTCTCTGCTAAACCAATGGCCACCACTCTGTCCTCAGACTCCCGGACCTCTCTGCTAAACCAATGGCCACCACTCTGTCCTCAGACTCCCGGACCTCTCTGCTAAACCAATGGCCACCACTCTGTCCTCAGACTCCCGGACCTCTCTGCTAAACCAATGGCCACCACTCTGTCCTCAGACTCCCGGACCTCTCTGCTAAACCAATGGCCACCACTCTGTCCTCAGACTCCCGGACCTCTCTGCTAAACCAATGGCCACCACTCTGTCCTCAGACTCCCGGACCTCTCTGCTAAACCAATGGCCACCACTCTGTCCTCAGACTCCCGGACCTCTCTGCTAAACCAATGGCCACCACTCTGTCCTCAGACTCCCGGACCTCTCTGCTAAACCAATGGCCACCACTCTGTCCTCAGACTCCCGGACCTCTCTGCTAAACCAATGGCCACCACTCTGTCCTCAGACTCCCGGACCTCTCTGCTAAACCAATGGCCACCACTCTGTCCTCAGACTCCCGGACCTCTCTGCTAAACCAATGGCCACCACTCTGTCCTCAGACTCCCGGACCTCTCTGCTAAACCAATGGCCACCACTCTGTCCTCAGACTCCCGGACCTCTCTGCTAAACCAATGGCCACCACTCTGTCCTCAGACTCCCGGACCTCTCTGCTAAACCAATGGCCACCACTCTGTCCTCAGACTCCCGGACCTCTCTGCTAAACCAATGGCCACCACTCTGTCCTCAGACTCCCGGACCTCTCTGCTAAACCAATGGCCACCACTCTGTCCTCAGACTCCCGGACCTCTCTGCTAAACCAATGGCCACCACTCTGTCCTCAGACTCCCGGACCTCTCTGCTAAACCAATGGCCACCACTCTGTCCTCAGACTCCCGGACCTCTCTGCTAAACCAATGGCCACCACTCTGTCCTCAGACTCCCGGACCTCTCTGCTAAACCAATGGCCACCACTCTGTCCTCAGACTCCCGGACCTCTCTGCTAAACCAATGGCCACCACTCTGTCCTCAGACTCCCGGACCTCTCTGCTAAACCAATGGCCACCACTCTGTCCTCAGACTCCCGGACCTCTCTGCTAAACCAATGGCCACCACTCTGTCCTCAGACTCCCGGACCTCTCTGCTAAACCAATGGCCACCACTCTGTCCTCAGACTCCCGGACCTCTCTGCTAAACCAATGGCCACCACTCTGTCCTCAGACTCCCGGACCTCTCTGCTAAACCAATGGCCACCACTCTGTCCTCAGACTCCCGGACCTCTCTGCTAAACCAATGGCCACCACTCTGTCCTCAGACTCCCGGACCTCTCTGCTAAACCAATGGCCACCACTCTGTCCTCAGACTCCCGGACCTCTCTGCTAAACCAATGGCCACCACTCTGTCCTCAGACTCCCGGACCTCTCTGCTAAACCAATGGCCACCACTCTGTCCTCAGACTCCCGGACCTCTCTGCTAAACCAATGGCCACCACTCTGTCCTCAGACTCCCGGACCTCTCTGCTAAACCAATGGCCACCACTCTGTCCTCAGACTCCCGGACCTCTCTGCTAAACCAATGGCCACCACTCTGTCCTCAGACTCCCGGACCTCTCTGCTAAACCAATGGCCACCACTCTGTCCTCAGACTCCCGGACCTCTCTGCTAAACCAATGGCCACCACTCTGTCCTCAGACTCCCGGACCTCTCTGCTAAACCAATGGCCACCACTCTGTCCTCAGACTCCCGGACCTCTCTGCTAAACCAATGGCCACCACTCTGTCCTCAGACTCCCGGACCTCTCTGCTAAACCAATGGCCACCACTCTGTCCTCAGACTCCCGGACCTCTCTGCTAAACCAATGGCCACCACTCTGTCCTCAGACTCCCGGACCTCTCTGCTAAACCAATGGCCACCACTCTGTCCTCAGACTCCCGGACCTCTCTGCTAAACCAATGGCCACCACTCTGTCCTCAGACTCCCGGACCTCTCTGCTAAACCAATGGCCACCACTCTGTCCTCAGACTCCCGGACCTCTCTGCTAAACCAATGGCCACCACTCTGTCCTCAGACTCCCGGACCTCTCTACTAAACCAATGGCCACCACTCTGTCCTCAGACTCCCGGACCTCTCTACTAAACCAATGGCCACCACTCTGTCCTCAGACTCCCGGACCTCTCTGCTAAACCAATGGCCACCACTCTGTCCTCAGACTCCCGGACCTCTCTGCTAAACCAATGGCCACCACTCTGTCCTCAGACTCCCGGACCTCTCTGCTAAACCAATGGCCACCACTCTGTCCTCAGACTCCCGGACCTCTCTACTAAACCAATGGCCACCACTCTGTCCTCAGACTCCCGGACCTCTCTGCTAAACCAATGGCCACCACTCTGTCCTCAGACTCCCGGACCTCTCTGCTAAACCAATGGCCACCACTCTGTCCTCAGACTCCCGGACCTCTCTGCTAAACCAATGGCCACCACTCTGTCCTCATACTCCCGGACCTCTCTGCTAAAACCAATACTAACCCTAGAACCAATGGCCACCACTCTGTCCTCATACTCCCGGACCTCTCTGCTAAAACCAATACTAAGCCTAGAACCAATGGCCACCACTCTGTCCTCATACTCCCGGACCTCTCTGCTAAAACCAATACTAACCCTAGAACCAATGGCCACCACTCTGTCCTGAGACTCCGGACCTCTCTGCTAAACCAATGGCCACCACTCTGTCCTCATACTCCCGGACATCTCTGCTAAACCAATGGCCACCACTCTGTCCTCAGACTCCCGGACATCTCTGCTAAACCAATGGCCACCACTCTGTCCTCAGACTCCCGGAC